CCCGTCCTAGACTAATGAAATCAGAATGCTGGAAAGGTGCTAGTGGTGAAGGAAGACATTAGGCACCAATATGTTTTACAAAGAACATGGCAGATGACTTTACTATGCAGAGTGGGGAACTACTGCCCTAGGTGAACATACTAAATTATACTTAGGTTATAGTCGTGATTTAACATTTCACATTGGAAAACTTCAGAATGTGAGTGGGGTTGCTTTGGTGAGAGGTGTCAGTGTTTATGTGTTCACACAGGCACATACATGTGAGGGCGACGGTTCTGCCCCTTGCACTTCCTGGGCTTTCCATTTCTGGTAGGAGCATAGAAAATGCCTGGAGTCAAGTTGGATGTCAGAGGCCCAGGGTCACAGGAGCTTGATGCAGAGGACGACATAATGGCTCAAGAAAGAAGCAAGCTTCTGGCTTTTTCTCTCCACTTCCCGATCTTTTCAGTCCTCCTTTCTCTTCCACTGCTGCCTCATGTGGCCTCATAAATTATGAGGCTTTGTATGAAATCTGTTCTTTGGAGAAGCACATTCAAATCTTAGATAATAGGATTTTTTTTCTTTTGGTTTTTTAACACATAAAAAACATTGATTGTGAGCACCTTACATGTAAGTGGAATGAATGTATTTTTGTCACTAATGTTGAAAATATTCTAGGCATCTGGTGTGTATGAATGTGTATACATAGTATATGCATAATAAACATATTCTACCTTATGAATATTTATACACAAGATACATATATATTGAATATAGACATACATATGTAAATAGTAGCCCTTGTAAACTATATGCAAATTGTGTTACCCAGCATATGTATCTTGGTACACCGGGAGTATAATAAACCCACCAAGTTTAGCATATTTTGAGGTGGCATTTTCCACAGAGTTGTTTATGGTAGGATCTGGTTATTCTACATATATGGGCTTTTTCCATCACTTAAATGTTAAGTACCAACTAAAAGTAAGTTACTGGACATGGCAGAGTTAGAAGGATGAAACAGCCAGGTGTAGTGGCGCACGCCTGTAATCTCAGCACTCAGGAGGCTGAGGTGAGAGGATAGCTGCGAATTTGAGGCCACCCTGTTCTACAAAGAACAAGACCAGACTAAAGGCTACAAGACCAGCCTAAACCTAAATTACATCATGAGACTCTGTTTCAAAAAACCAAAAAAAAGAAAAGAAATGAAATAGACATGGTCCCTTCCAAGACTTGTACCTCCCACAGTGATTTAAAATCTTGTTATGAAGAATCTAATATCATCGTCAGTGTCATTTTATAGCTTTCTTACAACTACCTTTTGTTTATACACTGCACTTCTACCTGGACTCGTTCAGGTTGAAGATCAGTTCCCCAGTGAGCTCTGCTGACACCCTGACATAGCTGCAGAGCAGGCCTGACACACTCAGAGGAATAGTGCTGGTTTCAGTTGCCTTTGTGGCCACTGGTCATCAGCAGTTCTCCTTTTTTCTCTGTCATTATAGCCAATCCTATGACGACATTTTTAGTTTACTCTGATTTGGTACAGGGGGAGGTCCAATAAAAAGGCACTAAATCCCAGATAGGCTCATAAATCTCACAAATAAAAGAAAACAAAATATCTCTTCTCCCCACAAACTTCTTGTAACCCAGCTACTACTGATCATGACACTCCACTTCCAAATTCCATCTAGTTCTCTCCCTGTGATATGGAGCAGAAATCGTTATGAAAAACAAGCAGTACATTCTCAGATAGTCAAAATATGGGCCTCTTACTAAAACCACAAGACCCAGGTTAGCCCGGGAGATTTGAGTGACACCGGTCAGGGCAAATCTCATCCCATTAAAGGAGACACAGTCCATCTGCAATGTCATCGCTGTGCCACGGATGTATGCCCATTGTCTCCGCCCCCCTCAATATATACATCACAACAGGTAGTTCTCAGCTGTTCCCTTGGTGCCAGACATACATTTTATCTAAAGAGACAGCAGACAGAACTACCTGCTGCTTCCTGTGCGGCTCTCCCTGTGTTTCTCTCCTTTTTCCTACTTCACTGGGGCTTTTAAAAATCAGCTGGAAGGGAGCCAGGAGCTCATCATTTTAATGCAGTGCAAAATGGAATATGCATAATTATATGCAAGCCATATGTGAGGGAGACAGCTCAGCTGTGAATTTCAGGAGGCCAGGAGAGAGAGAGCCGTTAGGGCTAAGATGAGCTGAGAGCACTGCAGAGTGCAAGTGTCACCCAAATGAATGGCCTAATGAGTGTGCTGCAGACACGACCCTCTCCCCTACCTTTCCCTTTCACCACTCCAACACCAGAGACCGGTGGAGATTAGAAAGAGAAGACTGTATGCAAGTGGTATTGCTAATGGGTTCTGTTAATGTCTCCATTTAAACTTCAGCTTTCTTAATTAACAGTGTAGATCAAAATAACCAGTAACTTTTAATGCAGCTTCTTAATTAAATCTATTTTTTTTACTGCATTTGACTGAAGAATCATTCTTTACTAGATCATCGCTCCTTTTAGATCTTTATTTAAAAATCAAGGGGAATCAGTTTATCTCTAATAGTATTACAATGCAAAACTATAACTATGCAAATTGCTTTTCTTATGGCCTTGCTATTAGAATTTTTTAAAAGTGCATTATCTAGAGATTGCTTAAGCATGCCAAAAGTTTAAACACGTATGTATGTCATATAATCCTCAATGTGCAATGAACGATGTGCACTGAAAGACGAAAGTGGTGGTAATTTTCAACAAAATTACTTGATTTTGGTTTGATTCAAGTTGTTTTAAAATATTACACCACAGTGAATTTGCATGTTCAAACTAAACAATGTAAAGAAAAACAAATCCCAAATTTTAATATCTAAAAGGCGTACTGCGTATTTAAACAAACTTCTTAATAATGTTGTTATTTCTGGATTCCCGTTTGTTTAATGATCTGAGCTGTTATGCTTTTAGCTTTTTTCTCTTCCATTATTTGTAAGTCCCTAAATAGGCCATTATATTTCCCTTCAGGCTAGAGATGAAGATGGACATGCTGAAAATTTTCCCCAGCAGCACTATGCTAAGGAAACTCCAAGGCTTGCCTTCAAGAATAACTGCGAACTACTTGTAAGAATAACATACTTACAACAAGTCTAGAATGTTACTTTAGCACAGTGAAAACAGTTCTGGAAAGGGTTTGTTCATTATTACATAATTTATGAAATATTATAGTTTTTCTGTGTAGAGTTCTAAATGCTAATTCTGATATCACTAAATATTAATTATAAGATCTCAAGTTGTTTGCACATCTTTTATATCTGATTGTAGAGCTTGAATGGCCCTGTCTTTATTAGTTTGTTTTGTATAGTAGTTTATAAGCAGCCACTTGGAGAATGCCAGTAAAGTTAAAGATAGAGGACAGTTGATATATGTAGCTTGGAGGAAAAAAAACCAATCCACCCTGCCCCTCCTCTATGGTCCTGATTACGCACTGTTGTAGGAGACAACCGCTGTGATATTTTGTTCTGCTAGGAAAGACAGCGCAGTTGACACGCAGTACTCCCTTTAGAATTCAAGTATTCCCCCATTCTCTTGCCAAACTCATTCGTCTCTCCTCTGTGGAAGGAGTCAAAGCGGTGACAGGTTGAGGGGATGTTTACAAGTCGTGAGAGAGAGGACATCAGCTGTGACAGAAACTCGGTTCCAACGCAGGGTTAATTTGCTGTTCATTTTAGCATTTACAGCGAGACAAGATGAAAAGCAAGCAGGAATGCCTATTATATTTCTATTAAATGAATCTGTTGGGACCTAATGTTCTTGATTAGCTTTTGAAAATGAGTGCTCCACAATGCATTTTCTGTTTACCTAAAGTAAACAGAGAATGAATTGTCATTTATTTAGAGATTCAAACACTGCTTTTGAAAATGAAGCTTTATGAGGGATCTAGCTATGCTGTCCCTAAATGTTCTTTTCTTTTCAATTGCATTAAAGCAAAAACATTTGCTCCCGCTAAATGAAAACAAGGAAAGAGAATGAGGATGCTCAGTTGTTACATTGTGAGGTACTTTAATTTCTGTTTAGTTTTTTGGCCAAATACAGTAGAGATCTGCCAGGTCTCTGTACTAGGAAATCCCACATGTAACAGTCTTTGGATTTAGCTCTGATAACCAACTGTTCATTAAAGACAAAGTGTCCAAAGAGCAGAAGAGAGAAAGAAGGGTCTCTCCATTCTGGCCACAGAGCTCCATGCCGACAGCAAGAACCTTCTCTTCCCAGTCCTGGTCTGCCAGGTTACAATGGCACCATTCCTTCTGTAGTGAGGTCTTGGACTAGCCAGTCTGCAGGCAGATTTGCTGCTTATAAATGCAATTTTTAAATGACAATTTAATGCCCTTATATTTTATTTTAGGACTCCTAAGCTTCCTGACCTGGTAGCGTTCCCTATTCTGGGGAAATTCTTTTTATTTCAATTTTAATGCTCCTTTCCATAGCTATGGTTAGACCAGAGGGGCCATTTATAACTATGTTTTGGTGTCAGAATGCTTTTAAGAGTAGATTGCTTCTTTTTAGAGAAATTGTTGTGAGTAATGTGCCATATTTAATATTTTTTTCTATTTATTGGAAAAGTGAACATGCTTGAGTCCTAGTTGTGGTCACTTTATACTGGAGGAAGTAAAAATATATGTGAACATCTTTTCCGCTATCTTTAGAGAAAATAGACATTTCATCTTTGCTGAGCTTAAGCATAATATTGTGTTGGCAGTAGTTTTGAGAGATTTGATATAATCTTTATCCTCCTAGTCACTGTTAGAAATGCTTTATTTTTTTTGGCATGCTTTTCTGTGATAAAAGAAAAGGAAGAATAAAGAGAAAATACAAGCAAGCTCATTTCTCCAAGGAGAAGGTTAATTTTTTTCAGCTGCAAGAAAAGTGATGGTGGTTGGCTGTTACAAAGCCCTGAGAAGTTATGCTTCTATACGAAAAAGGCTTGTTCATTCTTGAGAGAAATAGGAAGTCCTTGGAGTTTTCTTAGTGCAGGGTTTTAAAAAAAAATTGTCAGAGAAGAGTGTAAACTCCACTCCAAAGTGTTTTTTTAGCTTAAAGTTGGTTCTGCTGTCTTCTTGCCTGATTCATTGCAGCCAGAGCAGCAGCCAGTTGAGACAGTGTGGGAAAAAGCCTTCAGGACACAGCTCCTTCTAGGTTCCCAAGTGATCTAGGTCACAGGGCTGCAAGGTTTGTCCTCTGGGCCATGAGCACTGACAGACAGAGCCCTGGCCAGGTAGACGGGACAGTGCCCTGACTTTATTGTTGACTATCACATGTCTCACACACACGCACACACACACTTCTTGGAAGAGGGAGGAATATTAAGTAACCTAAACAAAAGCAGAGTAAAATCAATGCCTGGAATATACAAGTACATGTAATCAGAAGGCACTGACAAAAGAAAGCATTGGCTGGTACAAAGATGTGCTGTGCAACTGTAGATTTCCTGTAGGGCATTGATTTTTCCATTTAAATTCTAAACTGTGATATGTGCCTTCACACTTAATGTACAACACAGATGACTACATATTTAGCTTGATAGCCAGATTCTGTATTTGGTGACTGTATAGCATTGTATGCTTTCCATTAAACTTGAAAATGTGAGGCTATCAGGATGAGTGACATTAGATAAAACAAGTACTATGTGATGTATCCCAATTCAGCATGGCCACCTATCTCTTATAGATAAATGAGGGTGTATACATGTGCACACATACACAAACCAGGGTTATTTTGCCACCATAGTCAAGTTTATGATTGAAGAAGACAACTTTCAGTAAAAGAAAATGTAGGAAATTTGCATCATGGTAATGCTACAGCAACATGGCTTATAAGAATCAAAAGGGAACCTGTAGAGCCAGCCATGGGTAATCAGCCCTCCCCTCAAACTCCACCTCCATTGCTGGTCCTTTTTCATTATTGCCTCTTGTGTGGACTGTAAGGCTTCTTGTTTCCCCTAATACCTCACTCGTAGCACTACTGGGATGAGGTTAGGAGGTGGAGGAGTTTCTGAAGCGTATTGTAAGTTCTCACCCACTCACTAGCCAGTTCTTAGTTCTTGAAAGCTGGCTGAGAATAAGACCTTGTAGAAATACAGCAGAAGTTGGATCCTTAGAGAGAAAAGACCAATAGCTAGAAGAAGAGGAATGCTCAGAGGTTTTGGAGAAGGAAAGAAAGACAACTGAGTCTACGTCCTGAATTGTTTTAGAACTAGCACAAAGAACATCACTGTATTCAGGAAGAAGGTCAGAATATAACCACAGAATAGCAGCAAGTGATACAGTTATTATTTGGTTGGAAAGAAACCAGGTTTAGAAGTTCTGAAAGGGAAAATAAGAGAAAGGAAGTTGGGGTGGAGCCAGCTTGTCCCCAGTTTCAGATCCCTGACTCATTGCCTAGACAAAGTCTGAATCCCTATGGCTTTTCTCAGGCTGTTCGGGTGAGGGTTTTGCAGCGGGAGAGGGAGGGAACCCACAGCTGGGAGGCTAAATAAAAATAGTATGCAACAGAATTCTTTCTGGTCACTAGCGATGCCAGTGTAGGGAGAAGATGAAAACTATTTTAGTTTTGTGGCCTTGTGAACAGAGACGACGGGGAGGAAAGAGCTTAGGCTATTCTTCTGTGGGTTGATTTTTCCGTCTCATTTCCTTGTGGAGGCAGGCAGGTGGATTATGAAAACTGCATGTAGTCCTTTGCAGGAGAAAGACCCTGTGTTAATGCAGTCTTCAGTTGATGAGACTTTACTGAGCACCTGTGCACAGAGCATTGTGCTAAACCAGTGGGGCGAACCTATGGCACGCATGCTGCAGCAGGCTGTTTGTTATTATTGAAAGCTCTAAAAGGTTCACCATCACTGAACTAGACAATTGCAGATGGAGGCACAAAATAGAGAAAGACACAGTCCCGTCCAAAAGGAGCTTACAATTCAGTAGGAAGACCAAAGCATATACAGCATATATATTGTAGTCATGGAGTATGTAGGCTGTCAGGTCAAAAAGCTGAAAGTTTTCCCTAGTTAGACTTTATGGCTGAGTTTGTAAACACAAAGGCTTAACGTTTACTGTGAAATATCTGACATTACACTGGATCCCTGGTTCACCTCTTGGCCTCTCCGAGGTTCACATCTTTATCTGTAAAATGCAATAATAAAAAGCAACAACATCAGAGACTATTGGAAGAGTTGAAAGCATTTTAAAAGGGCCTGGTACATAGTCAGCACTCAGTACATGTTAGCTGCTGTCATTATGTTTCTTCTTATAATCATTGTTATCATCATATAGTGAGCTGTGTCATGAAAGAGTATGAACAAAGTTCTGGAGTACAAAGGAAAATGAGACTATGTCCTTCTGCAGTCACTGAAGATGTAAAGGTGGATACCTTTGATCTAGGCCTTACAGAGCTGATTTTGATAGTTGGGGCCAGTGCATAAGAGAAGGAGGTTTTCCAAGCAGAGGGAAGTAGTATGAGCAAGGCAGGGAGGTGGGAAAATGCAAGCAAGATGTTCTATGGGGATTACTAGCTCAGGTGGCCAAGAGTTGAGTACCCAAAGGCTAAGGGGTGAGTAGATATTTGTAAGTGGTTGAGTAACTGACACCATCCTACTGAGTCTGGATTTTAGTTGTTTTATTTCATGGAAATTCCTAATGCTTCTGCAGATTAAAAATCATTATAGAATGTTTCTAACATACATAAAATTAGAGCAGTGAGTTATGTTCTGTAACCCCATGTACCTATCACCTTGGAATTACTAATTCAAGGCTAATCTTGTTTCATATATGCTTTTTCTCCCTATCCCTCTTTTTATTTGCTCTAGAGCATTATAGCATATATGCTACATTATTTTTGGTGGTATTGGAGGGTTTTGTTTTTGTTTTACAAAGACTAATGTCACTCTTCCTTGGCTCAAAGGACTCCATTGCTATTGATTAAAGTGGGAGTTGGAGCTTTGGAACTAAGCATGCATAAAACAAGTGACTCTTGGTTATGCATTATGCTCTTCCATCCCTGCCTTCTAAGGCAGGGGCAGTCAAACCAAGTTTACAAAGTCCGAACAATGACTTGAATCCCTTTTGCTCTCAGGC